GGGAGTCTTTCCACGTTTGCAAACGGTGCCGCACGTCCAGGCCGGGCCCCGCAGCTCCGTACCGCCCACCCCCGACGGCCCCCCGGGCCTCCCTCCTGCGCTCCCCAATGGCGCTCAGGGCTCGAGGCTGCCGGCCTCCGCCGTCGCCGCTGCTGCTGCTCCTGCTCTGGGTGACGGGGCAGGCGGCGCCCGTGGCCGGCCTGGGCCTGGGCCCAGACGCGGAGCTGCAGATCGAGCGGCGCTTCGTGCCCGACGAGTGCCCGCGCACCGTGCACAGCGGCGACTTCGTGCGCTACCACTACGTGGGCACCTTCCCCGACGGCCAGAAGTTCGACTCCAGGTACCCGCGCCCTTGGCGCCCGCGCTCGGCTTCCCAGGCTCCGGGCAGGCCTTTCACTCCCGAGGGCCCTCCCTCCGCCCCGCCCAGCGAACTCCGCGCCCCTTCCCCTCCCTCCTCCCTCCCGGTGGCGCCTGCGACCCCAAATCCCAGCACCCTGCGGATGCGCGTCCCAGCGGTGCGCTTCTCCGGGACGCCCGCCCGCTAGTATTTGAATCTTGTGTTTCGAGGTTAGACAAATCACGCCCTTCCTCTCCTCCAGCGCAGCTACACACGCTAGAGAGAAAATGGCCACGGGATGAAACTCCCAGGAGGTCCGCTTCCACCCTGTTAGTGAAGTTACCGACGGGGAAGAAGATAGGATAGCTGCAGCGAACGTGCCGGGCACTGCACTCTGTGCCTTCTGGATGCGGTGCTGACTCAGTAGAACTGCTCCGTGGGGTTTGCGTGGTTCTGGTCTTCACACAGACTGACAGACGTGTTCTCTCTCTCTCTCTCTCTCTGCCATCGAATCATAGCGACCTTATAGGACTGGGTAGAACTGGCCTGTGCATTTCCAAGACTAACTGTTAATGGGAGTAGAAAGCCCCGTCTTTCTCTCGCAGAGCGGCCGGTGCTTTAGAAATGCCGACCTTCCGGATCTCAGGACAGCGTGTAACCACTCTGCCACCACCCCCTGAAAACGGTTCCTTTTCAGTTAACTCACTGTCATCGAGTCACTAGCGGCTCTGTAGGACAGGGTAGAACTGCCCCTGTGGGTTTCCAAGATTTATTTTCTTCCTGGAGTGCCTGGTGGTTTCGAACTGCGGCCTTTGTGAATAGCAGCCCAACTCGTGACCACTGTGGCACCAGGACTCCCTTTTCAGTTAGTAAAGTAAACCAAAAGCCAAACTCGCTATCATCGGATCAATTTTGACTCACAGCGACCCTATAGGACAGAGATTAACTGGCCCCGTGGATTCTGAGACTAACTCTTTACATGGGTAGAAAGCTCCATCTTTCTCCCCACCCAGCGGCTGGTGGTTTTGAACTACAGCCCTTGTGGCTAGCAGCCAAATGCATAATCACTACCCCAGTCGTTCAGCACCAACTCTTTGCCCTACTCAGGGACCTTATGTGCATTACATAGCATTAATTCTTACAACAATCCTATGAAGGAATACTGTCGTGACCCCAGTTTTACCAGTGAGGTAGCATCATGAAGGCTGAAAATCAAACCAACAAAACAAAAAGCCTATTCTAGGGGTGGAGTCAGATCTGATCCAGACAATTCCAATCTAGAACCGGAGTGTAACTGCCACGTTACACAGCCCTCCCACTCAGACCATCCAGAGACCTGCCAGGAGAAGAGAAGATTCTAGGGTGGGAGGGGGTCCAGAGCCATCCCCCAGTTCTGCCAAAAGGCCTTGCCTCTGACCAGCACATCCTTTGCTTCGCCCCCAAATCTCAGCGCTTCTCTCCATCTTCCCTCCAGGATAGCTTGAGGGTCAGCCACAATGCTGTTTGTTCAAATCTACCAAGAGGAGGCTGTCTGCTCCGGGCAAGTCTGAAATCCATGGCAGTAGGTTTGGTTTTGCTGTTCTTCCAGCAGTGGGCCTCTCCCCTCCCCGAGATTTCTGTTACAGCCCCTGGTGAATCACCTGGTTGGGAAAGAGAACTACTTGTTGAGCTTCTGCTGTGTGCTCAAGACTTTGTTAACCTCATTCACTAAGCTATCTTTTCTTTAATCCTCTTAGCCATCCCTGCTTTTCCCCCCTTTCTTTTGGAATTTCAGACAATGAATGAATCTACATAAGCTGCTGAGTCTACTGCCTGGCAAACAGCAAAAGCTCAATGAAATTTAAAAAAAAAACCATTTCTTCATTGTTCTAGTTACTTCTTGTTTCAGTTGTTTTAAACAGTTTTACGGTGATATAATTCACATACCATACAACTGACCTGTTGAGAGTGAACAATTCAATGATTTTTAGCATCTTTACAGAGTAGTGCAGCCATTACCCCAATCTAATTCCAGGATACTTTCATTATCCCTACAAAGAAACCCCAAACCCGTTAGCTATCACTCCCCACTTTCTCCCCAGCCTTGTCCGCTGTACTGGTTAAATAGACCCTTGAGTTGTACAACCTCATAGAGCAGAGTATAGAACAGCTTCATCGAGTTTCAGAGATTGTGAATCTTTATGGGAGCAACCTCATCTTTCTCGTTTGGACTGGTGAGTGAGTTAAAACTGCTGACCTTGCCATTAGTAGCCCAACGCACAACCCATTACACCACCATTCCGCAGCCCAGACAATCACTCACTTACTTTCTTTCTCTAGGATTTGTCTGTTTGGGATATTTCATACCAAGAGAAGCATGTAAATTCCAGTATGTGCTCTTTTGTGACTGGCTTCTTTCACTTAGCATAATGTTTTCAAGGCTTATCCACATTCTAGTATGTAACAGCATCCCATTGTATGGCTATACACTATTTTATTTATTCGTTGATCGGGCGGTGGGCATTTGAGTTTTCTGTCTGGGGTTATTATGTATTACATGATGTTATGAACCTTCATGACAAGTGCTTGTGTGACTAGTGTATGTTTTCACTTCTTTTGTATATGTATGGAGGAGTGGGATTGCTGGGTCACATGGGGAGTCTTTGAGGTCACATAGCTTAACCTTTGAAGGAATTGTCACACTGCCTTCCAAAGTGGCTGTACCCCTGTACATTTTCACCAGGAATGCATGAGGGTTCTAGTTATTGTCTTTTTTATTTCAGCCATTAAAGTGGGATGAGGAGCCCTGGTGGCATAGTGGGTTATGCATTGGGCTGCTAACTGCATAATTAGCAGTTCTAAACCACCAGCGGCTCCATGGGAGAAAGAAGAGGCTTTCTACTCCAGTGAAGAGTTACAGCATCAGAAACCCACAGGGGCAATTCTACCCTGTCCTATAGGGTCACTATTCATTAGAATCCCTAGGAGGGGAGGCAGAGGGGAAAAACAGGAAGGATTCGACCAGGTCAGAGAGGAAGGCTGAGGCCAGTTTTTAAGACCTTTTCTCTGGCTGGCTTCGGAATTTGGACTTTGTCTAAGGACAATGGAAAGCCACTGAAGAGTTTTCATCTGGGGAGGGGGCGATCAGATTTGCATTTTACAAAGGACCCTGAGGCCTGTCTGGGAAGAATAGAGTGGAGGAGGCCGGAAGGGGTCTTCTGAGAACTGGTGGTGGCCTGCCTTGCGTTGTGTCAGTGGCCATGGAAAGGCATTTATTTAGGAGGCAAGTCCGGTTAGCGGCTGTCTGGGAAGCAGAGATGGAGAAGTCAAGGGCCTCACCAAGCCGGGTCCAACTACCTGGGTCACAGAATAGCTCTTGGGGGCTGTTAAAGAAGTTGGGGGCAGGGAGGTGGTGTGAAAGGCGTTCAGATCTGGGAGTATCAAGTAATAGGGGTCTCCAGATACGGCGTAGGAGGTGGAATGAGATTTGACTGGTGGTGGGTATTTGGGAAGGTGGTGGGTAACTCTGGGGTAGTCTGGAGACTAACAGCTGCTTGGCAGAAATGCCCAGCAACCCGGCCCATGGAGAAAGGTGGGGCAGCCAGACCCTGAATGACACCCAACTCCTGGCAGTCTGGTGGTTACCAGTTGGACCCCTAACCGCAAGGACAGCAGTTTGAAGCCACCAGCCGATCCTCGGGGTAGAAGGCTGAGGCTGTCTGCTTTTGTTAACCCACATGGGCAGTTCTACTTTGTCACCAAAGGAGCCGTGGTGGTTAGTGGTTAGGCGTTGGGCCAAAACCACCAGCACTTCTGTGGGAGCAAGACAGGGCTTTGTACTCCCATAAAGAATTCCCATGTTGGAAACTCACAGGGGCAGTTGTACCCTGCCTATAGGGTCACTGTGAGGTGGCATGGACTGGCTGGCAGAGTTTTCTGAGTTTTACTCTATGGGTCAGAACTGACTTGATGGCAGTGAGTTTACGTTCTTAAATGTGCCTTTCCTACAGATTGCGTGACCTGGTCTCTCTAGGGTGCTTGAGTGAAGGCAAGAAGTAGCCAAGCTTCCTCACCCCCACTACTGCCTAGATTCCTCTTTCAGGAAGGACCACCTTCAAAACTCCGCCTCTGTCACTTCTTTCTTGCAAAGAGTTGAGGCACCAGCAGGAAACATGGGACCTGTTAGAGACCTTCTGTAGCTGGACAGTCATGGGTAGCTCTGCTGCCTGGGAGCTGGTTGGAAGCCCAGGTTAATAGTCAGAGTAGCAGTTTTACTGTTGTCATAAATGTGAAATGATAGTGAGAGAGTCAAAAGTAAGTAGGTATACGTACCTGAGATAGTAGGTTGAGAGGCTGGGCAGGACGATAAAACAGGAAACTAAGAAAACTCACTGCTCTCAAGCCCATGCCGGCTCATAGTGGCCCTAAAGGACAGGGTAGAACTGCCTCTGTTGGTTTCAGAGACTGTAACTCTTTACCGAGCAGAAAGCCCTGTCTTTCTCCCAAAGAGCTGCTGGTGGTTTTGAACTGCCGACTTGCAGTTAGCAGCCCAGCTATCAACCGGAAATGCCCTGTGTAAAGTTCATTTGAAAACACACTGGTGGCACAGTGGCTCGAACACCCAGCTGCTAACTGAAAGGTGGGTTGCTGGTCCTCAGGAGAAAAGCCCTGGTGACCTGCTCCCCTAAGGTTTACAGCCCTGGGAACCCTCTGGGGCAATTCGACCCTGTCCTACAGGGTTGCTGTGGTAGTCTGGTTGACTGGAGAAACAAATAGAGAGACATTCATATATGAGTAAGAGAGAACTTTATATCAAGAAGCAATTATGCATCAATAAAACAGCTCACCTCTGGTAGGGAGGGTTCAAGGGTAATGTAACCAAGAGGAATTACTGAAACCCAAATGAAGACTGAGCATGATAGTGGGACAAGAGAAAAGTCAAAGGAAATAGAGGAAAGAGCTAGGAGGCAAAGGGAATTTATAGAGGTCTAAATAAAGGCATGTATATATGCAAATATATTTAT